TGGCCAACATCCAAAGAAACGGCACATTCTCTGTGGTGCCCCGAATTCCAGGTGGTGAAATCACGGCCGATAAACTCATTGCTATCGGATCCGTAGCCAAGAAATACGGTCTGTATTGCAAAATCACCGGTGCCCAGCGCATCGACATGTTCGGTGCGAAGAAGCAGGATCTTCTAAATATCTGGACGGAACTTGTGGATGCGGGTATGGAGAGCGGACACGCATATGCAAAGGCTCTTCGAGCAATCAAAGTACGTGGAGCAATTATCTTCAAGAGAGTACCAACTGACAGTGAACGTTCAGAGTTGCGTTGGAACTACATGGTGTCGCTTCGGTGTTGGCGACAGTGTCGGCATGGCAATTCGACTGGAAGAGCGATACAAGAGCATTCGTGCGCCTCATAAATTCAAGGGAGCTGTATCTGGCTGCGTACGAGAGTGTGCCGAGGCCCAAAACAAAGAGTGAGTGCAAATCCTACGCTGGTGAAAACACTCAGGACTAATAGTTGCCAGCTTCGGGCTCATCGCCACAGAAAATGGGTTCAACATATTTGTTGGAGGCAACGGAGGTGCAAAACCTAGACACGCCGAACTCCTTGTTACAGATGTGCCAGCGGAGATGGTGATGCCCATAATCGACCGCTACCTGATCTTCTATATCCGCACCGCCGACAAGCTCCAGCGAACAGCACGATGGATCGAAAATCTTCCGGGCGGAATCCACTACCTCAAAGAAGTGATCGTGGATGATAAACTTGGAATCTGCGCCGACATGGAAAAGCAAATGCGCGAACTAGTCGATACTTACTTCTGCGAGTGGACCGAGACCGTCAAAGACCCCAAGCGCCGAAAAGTCTTCCAACAATTTGCAAACACAGACGAAACGGTCGAGACGGTAGAAGTTGTCCAAGAACGATCCCAGCAGCGACCCACATACTGGCCCAAGGACTCTGCCGAGCGAGAGGATTTCAAAGGCCACAAGTGGTCAAGTGTCTCCTGGCAGCCAGTTGTCCGAGCAGATCATTTCTCCGACGAGCCACCTCAGGTGTCATCGGCGAATGTCAAGCGCGGTGACACGCAGCTTGCTATCTTCAAGATCAAGGGCAAGTTCTATGCGACGCAGCAGATGTGCCCGCACAAACGAGCTTTTGTTCTTTCTGATGGCCTCGTTGGCGATGATGATGCTGGGAAATATTGGGTGTCGTGTCCGTATCACAAGCGCAACTTCGAGCTCAACGGTGAACAGGCGGGTCGTTGCTCAAATGATGAGAGTATGAATATTGCTACGTTCCCTGTTGAGGAGAGGGACGATGGCTGGGTGTATGTCAAACTTCCGCCGATTGAGGAGTTGGATTCGATTTTGGGCACGGAGAAGTGGAAAGTGCGTAAGAGTGAGACGGAGGATCCTTTCCACAAGGTTGATAAGAAGTTCAAGGGTATGAAGGGGAAGAAGGTCACCGATGGCTTTTTGACTGGTGTATCAGCGGTGCAACCAGCCAAGTCCATTGATTGGTAGTTGCAGATTATGCGATGGAATTATGTTGCGTATGGGAACATCGAGATGAAAAATGGCCTTATGAGTACACTTGAGAATGTATGTGCTTTGCATAAATTGTTTTCACTACTTCTTTTCCTGAACCGATGGAAGAATACATGCTACGTAAATATTGCCAAAGAAGCCAGTATATATCGCCGCCTTAGACCACATAAGAGGCATCTTCAGATGCTAGGTTATTTCAATATATAAAGACGGTGACCTCGATACATATCTGAGACATGGAATTGATTAGACAACTCTCATCTCCAGGTTCTTATTAATTCCTCTAACTCTTCATCAAATGGTTTAAAGCCAGGCTCTGATCAACCAACAGTGGTTACAGATATTTTCACACCACTTATGAAGAGTTACCTAGCGATGAGGCTGGATGACTTTTAATAACACACGAAGATTTCCTATATCTGGTATACTGAGTACTATTGACTAGTTATCTAGCGGATGTACAAACTGCCACGGACTATTATTTCTACTGTCAACGCTAAATCCCTTATCTCGGTGTATCAAGTAAATAGAAGATATAGAATTTTGCACATAGTAAAAGTTACAGGGAAAAGAGATGCTTAGGCCGATTGTTAGAAAGCGCTTGCTTCACTAAAAGAAGCCCTAATTTTAGACCGGTGGATGATACCAGATCTTCGGGAGGGTTCACCCCAGAACCCAGAACCCTGAATCCATTAACTGGAGTCACAGTCAGAATTAAGTATTTCCGCGGAGCTCAAATCGCCACGTTCCCTATCGCGGTTGGCTTGGCATCCAATGAGGAGGCCCGCGTTTATCAACGATATGGATTTCTGGGCAACGTGGAGCAAAAGACCCGTTCCTAGGTTCGGTAGAACGTTATGATGTAAGCTTCAAATCAATTGAAGGTCCGCGGAGTTATATGAACTGGACTGAATCATACTATCAGCTTTTCCCTCCAATCATGGAATCTGGTACAGTATACATCCTACACTGCTATAGGTCATTCTAATTCGTACCTTATCTCTACCAGCATATCATGGCAGGATACTGCGGAAGTTTCAGGGATGAAGTCTGGGGCAAAAAGTAAGTTCCGCATTGATTCCAGGGTCTGATGATCTTGCTCCAACCTTGTCCTTACGTTGTATCAAATCAGCGACCTGAGATATACGGAGTACTCGGTGCCTTGACTAACTCTTTTTGATTGACAGCACATGGCTATTTGCGGTGATTGGACAACCTGACAGGCAGAATATCAGACTGATTGTGCTTGCATGTGTCATGGCAAGATGCATTTGAGATATATACTTCAGCAAGCACAGCACACTAAACGTCTATATAGATACGAAGGTCTATCTATTCTTCAACTTTCTCCTAAATCTTCGAAAGAGCTCTTACTTCCATTTAATCCACAAGGTTATATCAAGTAATCCGAGCCTACCTTCATCTCATCGCTCGACTACACAAAGAGCCAACCAAAATGGCACCAGGGTTTTTTAAACGCCTCTATGTATCACCGGAAATCAACCCAAGTACCCACAAAGCCAAATCTATTCCAGTATTGAATCCTTTCGATAAATATGGACGGGTATTCTTCTTCTCATGGCTTGGCTTCATGGTGGCATTCCTATCATGGTATGCCTTTCCACCACTGGTGAGTTCATGATAAAAAGTCCCATCATGTTTTATATACCAAAAGAACGCAGTCTCTAATCTCTGGCTTCCCAGTTGAATGTGACCATCAAAAAGGACTTGAAAATGACACAAGAAGATGTTGCGAACTCAAATATTGTGGCACTCCTGGCAACGTAGGTACCACAATATGGAATCAGTCGAAAACACCTCTCTGACCGCTACAGTCTACTCGTCCGATTTGTTGCAGGGCCACTCTGTGATCGCTATGGCCCACGGTTGGTCTTCGTAGGACTACTTCTATGCGGAGCCATCCCTACTGCCATGGCCGGTCTCGTCACTGGCCCCAAGGGCCTGATAGCGCTACGATTTTTCATTGGAATTCTGGGAGGGACTTTCGTTCCATGCCAGGTCTGGTGCACTGGTTTCTTCGACAAGAGTATTGTTGGTGCTGCCAATTCTCTCTCTGGAGGCTGGGGTAATGCAGGTGGAGGAATCACATAGTATGTGTCTACCCTTCCCCTTTTACTATTAATCCACTAACGAAAGCAATGAAGCTTTGTAATGCCCGCCATTTACGATTCCCTCGTCCAATCCCGCGGCATCCCTTCTCACAAAGCATGGCGTATCGCCTACGTCATTCCATTCATCATCATCACTGCTGTCGCCTTATGCATGTTAGTCCTCTGCGAAGATACACCAACAGGAAAGTGGTCTGAGAGAAACCTCTGGGCGAAAGATTCAAATGGAACCACCTCGGCCCCCGACGCCAATATCGTTGACACCAACTCCTGCACTTCTTCGAGCGGAACGATGACACCCCACAATGCCGCCACAATCGACATCGAAAAGAAAGGTACCCAATCACCACATGTCCTAGACGATGCACCGGCAACCGGCCAGATCGACATCTTCCGACAAGAGATAGTCGTCTCCCCGACTCGGCGAGAAGCCCTAAACGTAGCCCTGAGTCTATCCACTATGGCCCTGGCAATCCCCTACGCCTGCTCGTTCGGCTCAGAGCTAGCAATCAACTCGATGTTGGGATCTTACTACACAGAAAAATTCCCACACATGAGCCAAACGAAATCGGGACAGTGGGCTGCCATGTTCGGCCTGCTCAACGTCGTCTGTCGGCCTGCGGGTGGTCTATTTGGAGACTTGGTTTACCTATATACAGGCACGGCCTGGTCTAAAAAGCTTTTGATCGCCTTTTTGGGGATCGGCATGGGAGCTTTCCAGCTTGCGATCGGGTTGTCGAACCCGTCCACGGAGGCGACCATGTTCGGTCTTGTCGCGGGCCTGGCTTTCTTCATCGAGGCATCTAATGGGGCTAACTTTGCTCTTGTGCCTCATGTGTATCCTTTTGCTAATGGTACGCGATCCCGTTATTACTTCTTAAATATTGAGCTAACATCTTGTCACTAGGTATTGTTTCTGGGATTGTTGGTGGTCTTGGTAATCTTGGGGGCATCATCTTTGCTATTATCTTCAGATACAACGGGTCAAACTACGGGCGATCCCTATGGATCATAGGTGTGATATCTTTGGCGACCAATTTGGCCGTTTCCTGGATTCGTCCTATTCCTAAGAGTCAGACGCTATCATGAAAGAGACAATCTACTAATACTTTCGATGCATTTAGTGTATGTACAGTTTGAAATTCGTTCTGTAAATTAATTTGTATGAAAATGAAGTTTAATTACTTTGGCAGCCTGTGCGTAATGGTTCTAAGCAAACTCATCATCCCCTCCATAGTAGCAGCCATGCTATCCATTCGAGTTTCTAGCCTAGTGATATCTTCCTTTTTAGCCCCGGTTGAAGCTTCGAGGGCTGCTCGACTGTTCATCATACTAAGAAATAGAGCCATTTCTGTTTGCAGTGATGGTGAGGTAGGCGATGGTGAGGAAGGCAATGGCGAGGGAGGTAGGGTTCGCGGCCGGGCTGGCGGCCGGGCTGTTGGCCGCTCACTTTCTATATTATAATTAGTAAGGTATATGTCAAGAATGGGATATGGCCCCTCTAGGCCCTAAACAAGAACCTTGGTTTTTGTTATGGTCTAGTGGTAAATTACGCTGTACGAAATTCGACAGTATACTATACATAGACAGGCTAATTGCTGCATGCCTTCCTCCCTAGAGTCCACCGGATCTCTGGGCCTTTTCTCCCTTGCTGGTTGCACTAATTCATCGGCTGTGTCATCCCGCACAGAGTCGGTACCTGCCTGAGCCTTAGTATCCGCACGAGCCGTGAGATCTCTTCGTCGCTGCTCTGCCACTGCATTCTCTTGTAGCACTTCGTAAATCTCATTGGCGTAGTCAAACATAGCAGCTTCGGTAGCGTTCAGTTTAGCGCGGTCAGGTTCCGGTATAGCAAGTATGGCGGAATGCTCTTTTAGCCTGTCAGTGATGTGCTTATGAACCGTTTGGTGACTGATTTTCTGCCCGGTATCGGCTCTCCATACTTCTGCAATCGCCTCATAAAGAACGGCATTACCCTTCATGGTAGTAAACCGATCTTTATAGTCAACGGCAATGCGTAGTAGGTTGAGATCATCTTCAGTTGTAAGGGGCGAAGCTCTAGTAGTTCTACTAGAAGTTGGACTGGAAGATTGGCTAGGCGTTGGCCTTTCTGGAGAGGTAAGTTGGGGCATGCCCCCCCCCAGCGTCCTGGCTGGTGCCTAATCACAGGGGGCACTGAGCCTGGTTGAGACTTAGAGGTAGTGTTCTCGTGGCCGGGAGGGGAGTCGCTCGAAGGGGCTGTTCCCTTGGATTTTGTCTTGTCGGCCATGGGTCGTAGTGGGGCAGATGGTGAAGTATAAAGATGCAGACGACCCAAATATCCTATCCGCGAGCATTTGGTGAAATGCTGATAACGCCAAGAAATACAGAGTGGAGACTGATCTGCCTTCCGCCTTCCCAATGTGTATTTGGCGGAAGCGAGCCGGTCCCGAATTGATCAACAGAAGTAAGATACGTACTGATGATGGATCTAACTACTGCCATGAAGCTTTCTATATAGCTTCATGAAAACACAGCGACAAAGGCCCGAAAGCCACAAAGGGGACAACCTGCATGAAGACAGCCAAAGCCTCAAAGCACGCCTGCATGCATCAATAATGCACCTCGTCTACTAATTCAGGCACCTGCGTATGGGGCTTCTTACTACAATATATTCTATCCAGCATCCTATGCATACAAGGCACACTCCTTGGCCGGCCAGTTATGGCCGCTGGTGCCAACAAACCCTGGCTTAACTGACAAACAGAGCGAAGCGAAGTACGACGTTTACCCAATGAGTATTTCTTTAGGGCTTTTGTAGAGTTAGTGAGAGTTGTTCGATTGATTTAATTGCACAGCTGGTTTGCTTTATTAACGAGCATCAAGATCTCGAAGATATGCGTCAATCGTGGGCGACCCCCCAAGAATGCCTTGAGTGCCATCATCTCATTTTGACTTCCACCAGGTGCCAGTATCATTTTTCGGTATCGGAGACCGGCATCGCTGCTCATTGGATTCGAGTGGAAATTGGAAAGCCACATGTCAGCCGCCAATATACGGGTGCTATGTGCTATGCGGTAAGTTAGTAATCAGTAACTATGTGCCTGTCTAAACGATGATAAAACATACTAGAGATAGGAATAATAATTTGCTTCTTGACCCCACATGTAGTGTGAAGTAGTAACATGTCCATTCCCCCAATCTACCCTATTCTCGGGACCCTGTAGAAGTGTCATTCTCTACAGGAGCGAGTTATAAACCTCGCCAGTTCGCATTGACTGGATGAGATTATGGGAACTAGGGCAGTGGATTTGCATGTCGAATTTGCTAAATGCAATTTGCCTGAGAGTGAGAATCGCTTGATTAACCCCTTTAGCTGCACTAAGGCTGTGGACCAAATTGTCTGGAATCTCCCTAGGAGGCTGCGGAATAGTAGAAGACCACTGTTTATTGGAGATGTAGGAATAGTGGCAGCTAAGCATCTGAAGACATTCAGGGACCCAACACCAATATTCAAGCAATTGGCTGGGAGCTTCAACGAAGTCTGCAACTGTTCGATGTCCGTGGAATATCGCATACTTGGATTTTCCGAGCAGATCATGTATGCCTTTGTAAGGATTAGTCTATCCATGGATTAAGTTGAGGATTTCTCGTGTTAATTTGACTTACCGTGACCTAACTCATGAAAAATCGTGATTAATTCTCGACGCTGTAGAAGAGCCGGCTTGTCTGACGATGACTGCGAGACATTGCATACTAATGCGGTGGCAACTGGCTGCTTGTGTTTCCGCGCGGAGGAGTAAGACTTGAAATAATGTATTAGTAAATTTCCTTTGATGGGATTTCACTTAGGGACGAACAGGATAAATGTTGAAATTGGCTGTATGGTTGTACTTGCCCTCTCTAGGATAGATATCAAGGTAAATAAATCTCAGAAAAGCTGATTCTTCATCTCGCACACTAAAGACTCGGACGTCGGAATGCCAAACCTGCTGCTTGGTGGCTTCAACGGGTACGATTGATAGGCTGAAAATTGTTTCAAACACCTTCAGCATTCGTTGAATTGTAATCTCCACGGGAAAGTACTCCGCAATCAGCTCATGATTGGTATTGTACTTTTCTCGTAGCAAACGGTCATGGTAGTAGTCAAAATCCCACAGATAAAGAGACGAGGAAGAGCGATCTCCATCTTCTCCATCTTCTCCATCTTCTCCATCCCCCCTCTTAAGGTGCTATAACGTCTCCAACTCCTTTTCTGCAAGGAGTTGCAGGTGATTGTAAAGTTCATCTAGTAGCTATATCCGGTTTCTTAAGCTTGATACCCCTTTAGGTAGTCGAAGAATGCATAGGTAATGCTTCCAGGGTCTCTATGGCTATCCCATCTAGCTCATTTTTATCTTTCCATACACAGCCAGGGTCACAGCTAAGATTTTCCATAAATGCAACTCGTAGCTCGATTAGACGGTTCGAGATCCAGAGGAATCGGTCCCTCTTATCCCCTTGTAGTTCAAGCCTATTTTCCATAAACATTGAGTGGAATCTTTTGAGAAGTTTTCGATCTTCACTCTTTGCATTTTCCTCGGCGTGGCTATCCTCCTCGTGCTTCTTATAAACAACGTTGACCAAAGCAAAAAGAGACGGTATCTGGAAGACACCCCAATATGCCTTATCCACCATATTCACAGCTGTTGAGGATGCCGTCCGCATTTCTGACGAAGGGGAAACTGCCTGGAAAAGGGCGAGGTATTGAACTTTCCCTTTGACCTCGTTGTCAATATCTGCCAGCGGGCGAAGAGTATTCTCAAATGTCGCGTTTTGCGGCAAAACACGGTTGACCAAGTCATTCGCAGCTTGTTGAACCCGGTTGACCAAGTCCGTTGCAATATCCAGCAGTGTGGACGGGCCGAGATTGAAAATAGGAAGTTCGGGAATTGTTGATGTCATTGTTTCAGTGTTTTCTTCGGATAAATCGTGGTAGGTCGCAGGCTGAGACCAAGGTAATCAGGGAATTAGAAAGAGTCAGAAAAGATACCAGCGAGATCAGTTTGAATAGGACACAGTGATCAGTTTAGGAAGGTGGGGGGGTGTCCAGGAGGGGTTAGATACAAGGGGAAAGTACAACCTACCACTAATATTACAAGTACATCCATGTAGATGTGCTATCACTAGTACGGAGTAGTATCCATAGATCTACATTCTAATGATGTCTCGTGACCATATTAATTCAAGCCGCCTCGATGCATGTGGATATATGCCAAGCTCTCGGGTTAGCGCACTCCGAGTGCGGGTTGAAGCTAGAGCGGGGCATAAAAGGCAGTTGGTCGTCTCTTGCAATTTGCTTTAATTTCAAATATTTAATCTATATCGAACAATCATGGCTCAACCTCAACCCCGTCGCTTCGCCCAAATCGTCCACCTCAAGCCCTCAGCTGTTGCAGCATACAAGGAGTGCCACGCCAATGTCTGGCCTGAGATCCTTCAAAAGATCAAGGAATGCAACATTGTAGACTGTAGGTTCAATGCCAAAAATATGTACGATCATATTGGATGTTCAAGCTGGCTAACATGGTATATTTTCTACAGACTCAATCTACTTCGACAACGATCGGACTCTATTTGCAACTTTCAAGTACGTCGGAACAGATATCGAAGCTGATATGGAGAACATGCGGTCATTGCCGAAGATGAGAGAGTGGTGGGCTATGACCGATGGGATGCAGGTATGTTGAGGATTCAACGCAAATGGAGAGATGCAGAAGCTAATAACCCACGATTAGGAGAGTCCCATTCCCGGAGCCGTGAGTAGTGCGGAGGGTCCAGGGTGGTGGAAGCCCTTGGATGAGGTGTTTCACACGGACTAAATATTTGGGTCATTGTGAAGATGGTAGAACTTGTACATCGCCACAGTTTCTCTGCTAAAAGTCGATTATCGAAAAAATTGGTCAATCTTCCTTTGTTTCACATCATGCGCGGCGGTTCCAACGCCACCCCTAGTGCGACGGAGATTGGAAAGATGTTTCTTCTCGTCAATACTCAGAACAACAAATGCGAAGCCCGGCATGACAGTATGCAGCATAGTCTGTTGTGTCGCGTCTGGGGTAATCAGTACGGTCATGTAGCCGGTGTTTGACCAGGTAGGTTTCCGATGAAGCGTAGTCATGTTGGTGCCATGAATTCCAGGAGCAATCTGTGTATCTGTTGGATTGAAGATCTCAATACAATATGCCCATAGCTCTTGGAGGATAATGCCATGGGCAACCACTGCGATGTTCTGTCGGCCGTGTGGACCACGCATCAGTAGTGGGAGCAGGTGTTCGTTGAAAAAGCTTTCAGCCCTCTTTCTCATCGACGCTTTTGACTCAGGGATAGCCCAGTCTCGAGGCCTTGGCGATGGAGGAGAGGTGTTCCAGAAGCGGCCTTCCATCGATCCGTAATCTTTCTCTCTTAAATTTTGAGTAAATATCGGTTGCAAAGGTGTTTCGCCGGAGGATGGAACCTGTGCATGGCAGACCCCCTCGGCTGTGATTCGTGCTCGGCTCAAATCAGAAGAGAACACCGTCGTGAATTTAGTTGAATTGGAGACGAAATGCTGAGCAAGGCAATTGATCTGAGCCACTCCATGGTTGGTCAGTGCCGAATCAGTGGTGCCCGCCCTATCACAAGAAGTCAGTGCAAGTCAGGTGGGAATGCCAATTGAGAAATATCAATTCCTACAGGACTTTTGCAACATTATGTACTGTTTCCGCATGGCGAATTAGATACAGCTGCATTGCTGAAGCTGGTAAAGTTAAAGCAAGGGAGCGAGGAACTGATACGGCCCCTGCCTGAAGGCTAAGTACCGCCTTCCTGATCTGGTGCCACTTAAAATTATGCCACATTTCTGCCACTCTTTATTTTTTCTGCCATATATTCTGCCCACTTCTACTTTACATAGTATAAGAACTTACATTTCGATCAAAAGAAGGTATATTCCACCTGATTCCTATAAAACTCAACCCCTTTATGATGAAGTAGACAATGACGCATTTGATATGACAAAAGTGACTTAAGTTTGTTAATGGTTCACTGGGGTAAATTCACTGGACTTTGAAACTAAAGCGGTGTCAAAAGCGGTACTAAATTAAGAAGGCGGTGTCTATAATGTCCAAAGTATGATCGAGGTCCCATGTTGTAGAAACAAACAAACATTATGGTCTCCCACCAAAAAATGAATAACAGTTCCAAACAGGTCAGCCGGAAATAAGAGACGCCGTTCCTTATCATCACGTTACCATTTACATATATAGTTAAGCGGGCCTATTCGTTATTTGTCTCATTTGTGAATAGTGGCAGAAGCCGACCGCCCTTAGGATAACTATAAGAAGGTGGCCGCCCCCAGAACATCCTCTTCTCTTCTTTCTTCTTCAGCTCTCTTTGCCTCTGGCTTAGATCAAGTGTAGTATCTGTTCTTTTCAGTTTAATCGCTGAAAGTTCTGCATTGCAGAACATCATGATTATTCTAATGTTTGGACCTCGCGACGGCCTCTGTGCTTGCTCATGCCTCGTTGCACAGTGTCATCGGGCTTACACTACCCCCGATTGACGCGAACCCTCTTCATCAACTGTTCGGCTTGTCCGGGCGCTTGGAGAAGATGTCTGTTCATGGTCTTACCTTGCTTTTTTTCGTATATTTTGTAAACCGCAGATGAACTGCCTGTTCTGATTAGTTTTGCCTTCAGGGTTTAGCGCCGTCTTACTTATGATTAGGCCCCCTGCCACCGCCCTGTATGAATCTGCCACCGCCCCAAGGAAAAGGTATATAAGGATGCCTCCCCCCGGCTCTTCCTCTCTTTTTTCTTTCTTCTTCATACTTACCTTGTTTGGGTGACTGTGATCAACAAGACGGTTCACCACAGGCTGGTCCCTGCATTGCACAGCGCGGCGGAACAGTTTGTTCAATGGCACTCGTGTCATTGACAGGCGTATTCTTTGGCACCTCCATTCGTGGAATATTTTCTTTTCATCAATCCTTGAGCCAGTGGCACGAGGTTGGAGAAGAGTTGTAGCCATGCATGTTTGTATCCAAATGCAAACATGGCGACCTTGACCTGAGTACCATTTTCCGTGGGTCTTTCCTGTGAAATATTTAAAATTTGTCCCCATTCCCAGCCCCCTTCTCTATGATGATGATTCTGGACCCTTGATATCCTCTCTGGTACATCCCTACCCCTCTCATTCACATAGTGACTGCTTATCACTTCTCCCTTTCCTTACAATCCTCCCTTCACCGCTGAGAAATCGAAGTCCGGTAAAACATTAAGAGAGATGCCTACAACTGTTGCCGCTCATGTTTGTCTTAAATCTCTCTTACTGAAGCTACGTGTACTCTAGCTTTTTCCTGATCCCTTGAATGATTCAAAAGTACGAAATGAAAGTGTTTGGTATCCCGCTCAATCAGACTCGCCGACCACCCATTCGCTCCTATTACTTTTCGGTCGTAAACTACAGCTGAGCTCTTTGTGGGTTGCCAATTGCAGCATGATCCCACTTTGTTCCTAAAGTGACGTCCGTGTAAACGCTTTGCAAAATTGAATGAAACTTCTACCTGATGTGGCTAATTTCAACTTCAAGATCACATCCAGTACGCGCGGAAGCAACCTGCTTCCAGACTTGTAAGACTCTATCGCTTGGCCTGTATACACTCGTAAAAGCAGAGGGATGAAACCAGGTCGCATTCGCTACCCCATTCCTCACAGTGTACACGAACTTGTGTATATTCCAGGCGTTCGTCACTTCCAAAACCATATTATTCAGCTTGGGCATGCGAAGAGCGGCATTGGCAGCCGAGAGATAATACGCATTGAAAGTCTCGTGAATGTGCTCACACCGAAATATTCTGCCATTGCGGTCCTCCGGGGCTGTCCAATTTACATCGGTCTCATCCCTCTCATTATCGGAGCCTAGGTCACTCAAGTGATAACCATCCTTATATTCAGAATCTTGAGCTCCTTCCTCTGCGAACATCCAGTTTCCACTTGGAGTCACCGGTTCGTATCCCACCGACAGATCGGTAAGATGGGGCCAAAAGGGAAGCTGGAGATTGTGATTCTGGTCATCTGTGGGCCAGAAGAATTCTTTTCTAAGCACACATTGGGTCACGCTCATTATTTTCAATTGTTGCGAGAACTCCCGCAATCGCGAGCTTAGCAGGTCTGGCTTTCCTTTCACAGTTAAATCCGGTGGGGAAGAGTCTTGATTGAAAGGGGCCCTATACCAGAAGTCAAGGCGGAGCTGCCGTATACTGGCAGGCCATAGTAGAATAGAATCCGCGAAATCTAGATTTCCGATTAGTATATTATATCCTGCCGGGCATTGTCATGTAGCATACCGTTTCTACGGCGTTTTCTCAGTTCCGGGTCCCATCTGTAATGATCACTCAAATTAAGTTTCAGGTGGTATAGTCGAGGTAACTTCGACACGACAAAAGAACAAGAAGTTGGTTCAATTTGCCTTCTATCATGCCCGCCTATGATTACAAGGGAGGTAACTGTGGGGATGGCCGGCCATTTGATACCAACGATCTCCGAATTGAATTGAAGGTATGATCTTTCGAATCTCTGATCCCGGAAATCACCAAAACGGTACCTCTTGTCCTCGGGCGTTTGATCTAGAATATCATCGGGGGACTGGGCCTCAATCGAAAGACTAAAGCCGGCGCCTTCTTTTGGCCATTTGGCCAGAGTAATGAAAAACGACTGAGTCGATGTGTCAAAAATCTTGTTGTTTCGTTGCATCTCCCCTTCATTTTCGTAGCGCATGCACGCGTCGCCATCATCATCATAGTATGACTCTAGTTGAACAATCAAATGGAGAGTTCGAACATAGCTCCCTCTTTGACCCCATGATAGCTCATTGAATTCGCCTTCTAAGGAAAGCAAAGAAACGATCAAACTACAACAAGACTGTTTGATAAGGTTATTTATTAAATATACTTTCCACTTATTCATTGAACGGATTCAGCGATAATTCAGAACACATCTCAGTCATCGTATGCCTAGGACCCCACAAGTTATTCGACCTATTCGGCCCTAGGGATATATTTGCCTCGAAGCGATTTCGCATTAGAATAAGAAACATAATATTCTGTGACCTTCGTGATGCCGTTTTCGATTTGATCCTGGGATTCACCGCCCTCGCCCACGCTATCTTCCGATGAGCGGTTTGGGGAATCGCTGGTTTGGTCCATACTGATGCCCTTGGGATCAGGGTACGCATGAAGCTGCGTCCAGTTGCTTCGGGGACGCGAAGTGGTGTTAGGTTCCGAGTCCTTGGCAGCCGAGCTTCCATAGCTGTTGGCCCCATGATCTATGGAAAAAACCGAGGGAAAGAGCCTAGCAAGTGGCATCCACATCATTGGCAGGCAGGCACAGGTAATCGCCACATTTTCTTCAGTTATCGTCCATACCGAGGAGGCTATGTCATCTGTAGATCTCGTAAGTGCTTGAGTAAGAGCAGTTCTGGGTGGCTATGAGGACACTTACAGGTAATGTCAGGACTGGTGGACGAGAAGTCCAGCGTCTGCATCCGGAGAATGCTTGTAATCGCGACACTTGAAAACTCCGGGTCAGTATGGAGTTAACGCCTGCACCGCGGTATTTGAAACTCACAAGGTGCCGAGGGCAAACACACCCATCAAGGCGATTTTCCGCTTCAACCGGATTTTCGATTTGTAGAGCGGGTACATCGGTAGCGTCAATATGATGATATCGGTAGCGATTGAGAAGCCGGCGTTGGCATACCAGTTAGTGGTTATGTTGATGCATGATCCTGGAATGGTCTTGTTCCAGGCCCGGGCCACTGGCGTGCATTGAAATACGGAGGCGAAGAAGGTGGCCACCATATAGGAGGTGATGATAACCAAGAGCACATGACAGGTTATCCGGAACCAACGCTGGATAAAAATGCGCAGATATAGCATCAGGATGGACATCTTCGTCATGTTCATGGTGAGCTTGTAGAAAGCTTGACTAACGAAGAAGAGCTGGCAGGACTGAAGTCAGCGATCCGCAGCCACAATATAGAACGAGAGGACTGCAGTGAGGAAGATTCCCAAAGTACCTTCAAAGTCATTAGCTTATGCGATGTTGTGAGATTCGCGATGTGTTGGCCAAAGCCATAGGCACAGGACGCCAGCATGAAAGCCATGACGATAACCGCAAATATCTGTTGATAGGAGGGTTAGGTCTGCATGTGAAAGCTCAATCTCTTGAATGAAAAGCTCACGGAAGACGCCAAAATAGTACAGTCGTCCCAGCCGAGCCCCGACTTAGACTTGACTCGGGACCACAGTCGTATAGCCACGAAAGCCGGCGTGGTCACGAGGAACACGATACATGGCACTTGGATCTCCAACGCCCTGCTTGGTCCTGGGGTATTTTTGGACATAGCAAATTGCTAGAGGTCGCCTGGGGGTGGGTAGTACGGTCTTGCAAAACCGATTGAGGCGACGGCCGATACATATGTAGTAATTCAATGCCGTATCATTAGTGATGTCGCCTTCAGCCTACATCTTTTTTTTTCGCATTCCGACATAAGTACATTACCGCGTTACCGGCGGGATAGCGTGTTAGCGTGTTATGCAGCAGAGTGACAAGGGTCCTATTCGCGGAAGTTTTCGCTTTTTTGGGATCAGGTTACATCGCGCGGCCTGATCGGGGCATTGACCCGTTTCATCCGAGACCCTTGTAGAAAAAAATGGAGCGCTAGGCGAGGGGTCGCAAAGATGTATACGTGATTAATTTCACGCTGCATGGCGTTAACGGCGCTAGTTTGAGAATATTTGGGGGCCAATTTGCTTAGGATTGGATGGTCGGTTGACGGCAATCAAGTACATGTACATGTATATGACGGGAAACACTGAAAGTAACTCATTTGAACGAAATCAAGAAGAATTTGCGTGCTGAATTGCTTAAGAGAAGATAGAAATAGAAATCTCTCCAGGGCTGGAGGTGGCCATTACTCAGCACAGCGCCCCACCCAGGCACCCCGGGCCCCTCCTCAATAGTACCTAACTACACCAAGTACGTGCTAGTGAAAATTTCAGTTGATTAAAAACATCAAGTTGGTACTAACTAATGAAATTGCATTTGAGAAGCCCCTATCCGGTTGAGAAGCGAAACAGGAAAGGCTGTGATCAGCCCCTAGATCACTAACTACATATAGGTAGCATCGCGGTGCCCCTAGCTCTGGTGCTAGCTACACTGGGATCCGCCTTCATTTCACATTAAAATAATTCTCAAGCTGGTATATATATGTTTGCATCAGGAGGTGAACGAAGAAGTCTGTTTTCCTCTTATACGATTGACAGAGAGCCGTGCTCTTCGAACTTCGTCCTTTTTCAAGCAACCACATCATGAAGATATTCTCCATCTTCAGTGCCTTCTCGGCGATTCTGTCGTGTACGACTGTCGTCTGCGCACAGTCCGACCCCGACCCAATTGGCACCATCTACGATGGCCATGTGCCGGCCGACTTATACGGATCCAGTTACCCCTACCCTTGGCCGGTGAAGCTGTTCAACTTCTCCAATCAGCGCCAGAACCTCACGATGGCGTTCATGGACATCCCGGCAAGGAAACAAAACAAGACTCAGAAGACAGCCGTCTTGCTGCATGGCGGCAACTTCTGCGGCGTCACATGGTCCGACACAGCGCGTCACCTGTCGGCCGCCGGCTACCGAGTGATCCTTCCCGACGATATCGGCTTTTGCAAATCGAGCAAGCCCCAAGGCTATTCTTACAACGTGCAACAGCAGGCTTTGAATATCCACAGCCTTCTCACTGCGCTAGGCATCGACCAAGTCACCGTAATCGGCCATTCGATGGGTGGCATGATTGCCGCCCGCTACGGCCTCATGTACCCGGCCAGCATCCAACAGCTTTTCCTCGTCAATCCACTGGGCTTGGAGGACTGGGTAGCCAAGGGTGTGTCCTACCTATCAATTGACGCGTCGTACAAGAGCGGTATTGTGTCAAACTTTACCACTCTCAAGGCGTATGAGCAGGCCAACTACTTCCCCAATGCCCCCTGGAAGCCTGAATATGATGCCTGGGTCAACATGCTAGCCGATATCTACGCCGGCGACTATGGCTCCGACTATTCGTACGTGATGGCCCTCGTCACCGACGCTTTACTCAGCCAGCCGATCATCTACCAGCTGCCTCTCCTGCAGACACGTACCTACCTCTTGGTGGGAGCCAGTGACGTTTCGGCGCTTGGTAAAGCATGGTCACTCCCTGCCGTCGCTGCGAAGCTGGGACATTATGATGTACTTGGCCCTGCTGCCGCAGCCATGATCCCTAACTGCACGCTCCATATGTTCCCCGGTCTAGGTCATGCACCCTTCCTCCAAGACCCCAAAGCGTTTTACGACGTGCTCTTTTCTTGGCTGGACTAAGTGCGATTGGCAATTGACTCCCCACAGTATTTGATACAATATTCATCGGACGGGAACCATGTTGTAAATACATTTCCTGTCCCAAGCCAGATATCTATAGCTTGTCACAAGGTGGGAACCAGCAGGACAGATGTAAAAAGCCCATACCAAGAGTGGGGAGACATATTAGACAATGTACATAGAAGGACTTTACAATGGGAAGGAAGAACTCATAAATCATGAGAAGTGCATCAATTTAAAATAGCTACGATTGTAAGATAGAGAGAAAAGAGAGAGAGGTTGTATAATGAAGCCCGAACGCTGAGAAATGTCTGAGCCCCAGCCTTGTTTGCATCACCTTGGGGTAGTATGCATGAGATTGGGCAGTGACAGGGTATCTTTGAAAGCACATATTTCATCCTTGAACATTTGTCGCGTGGCTATAGCGGTTCAATCAGAAGAAGCTGGTTAACATCTTCGAGCACCACAGTCCTAAACCCGAAACGTCAAAGGGATATTCCCCCGCCATTCCCATATCAGCCGGTCATGAACAACCCTGCTAGCCAGCACTATCACGTGCACATACGGACGAATTGAGATTATTGCGCAGTCATGTCGCATTTTCTGGATAAGCCTCGTTGGGCAGACTCGACCCCTCCCTCTAAGAGCTTCTGCGTTGCGCCTATTTAGTCCCGAAAGAACCTTTAACACTGTGTCAAATTCATTGAATATTTCAAACATCCCTTTGTCTCTATCCTTCAAGCCAATTATTCCCACTTTGCGCGCATCCGCACCCCATAGCTGAGATGGGGTTTGATCAGATTATAACGCAGACCATTGCGAGTACTAAATATCTCATACACCCACAGGCCTTGGTAAGCTTCCATATATATCCTGGGAAGAATTATATTGAGCTGTTCTCATAGGGCACTGTTCTTGAAAATATTCACGTCCAAGAGACCAAAGCTGTTGTTCTTCTCGAGGCAAAGATAGTGCAAGAAAGCACTGAAAGACTTATGCAGCAACTGAATCTCTTTCATCAAGTAGACGATGTCTACAGCGGAGAATTCTCCCGTTCAATCGTCCTAACCGGCACTCCTGAAGAACTGCGTCAAGGTAAATCGACCTTAGTATCTCTGAACTTTTCGACGGTGTACACATCCAGCGCGCTTGACCTGCCAGCAGGCCCTTATTTTCTTCATGGCTCCAACCTTCACCAAGCCTGGCGGCTATACCCGGACTGTCTCGACGGGTTCATTTTTGGAGTCTTGCCGGAAAATGTTCTCCATCCCGAAAGGTTTGTTCTCAAGGTCTCTGCGGCGACGAAAGCGAACGGTTTGTTCTCTAACAAGCACTATCAGATTCAATCCTTTCAGTTCTATCAGTGATGACGGGATTTGGAAAGAAGTCGCAGTGCCCAGTCGCCTCTATTCACGTCCCTCGCCAGAACGCCCGCTCGCGGGTGTTCAGGTCTGCTTGAAAGATATATTCCACCTCAACGGAACAAAAACGACCATGATGAGTCGTGCATATACAGAACTGTACCTTCCTCAAGAGAAGACTGCCTCATACGTTCAGAAGCTTATTGACCAAGGAGCGAACATTGTTGGAAAGACAAAGATGACTATCCTCTGATGAGCCTACGGATCAGTGGGTTGATTTCCATTGCCCCATAAACCCCCGTGGCGACGAATACCAGAGCCCGTCGGGAAGTTCCTCTGGTTCAGCTGCAGCATTAGCAGGATACTCGTGGCTAGATTCTTCTGTTGGTGGTGACTGTAAGTCTTTCTTTTTCAAATCAGGAGTCCATGTTTGAACCAAAGACATTGATACTTGAAAACCCAGCTGCTGGGAGTATTAGGGCACCTGCAACTTGCAATGGGCTATTCTCCATCAGACCATCTACTGAATCAACGTCTATGGATGGTATAGTTGTGAATTCACCGTGAGTTTCTAGTCAATTCTTCCACATGGCTTCTCTAATTCATTCATAATCAGTCACTTCGATGTTGTGGGATTATTCGGCCGCAGCTTGTCAGATCTCCATTATATTGCCTCTCATACTTTGGATCTCAGCGACAACTCTACGGCATTTCCGTCAAAGATCATCTATCCACTCGACTTTTTCCCCCACAGCAACCCCCAGCACCAAGCTATGGTGGATGAATTTGTTGGGGTCCTCGAGAACTTTTCAGGCACTAAGCGGGTCGAGAGTAGTATCGCTGAGAGATAGGAAAAGTGCCCTCCATTGGAGGCGAACGGAAAGCCGCTGAAGCAGTATCTGTCCAAGGTTGGTATTCCAGTTATTCACCAGTTTGAAGCGATGTGAAACTTACATTACCTTACACAGAGTGCGTTCTGGTCTATGTGCTATGACTACTATCACGGATTTGACGACTTCCGATCGAAGTATGAATCTAAATATGAGAAACTCCCTTTTGAAGGCCCAGTTTTGCGTTATAGATGGTAAGATTTGAAATTTATCGATTGAAGAAAAGCTAACCTGTCATATGTTAAGGGAATTGGCAAAGAAGTTACTCTGGATGAGTACAATGCATACCGTGAAGAACTGAAAGTATTCCAGAGATGGTTTGACGAAAACATCTTCTCACAAGATCCAAAAACCCTGTCTGAGGCCATTATGATTATGCCATATGGCTCTGCTAACCCGAAGTACCGGGATATCGCTAATGAGTCGTTCCCCATTCCCTGAGTTTTTCATTTCTTGAGAACTGACTAGACCTAGGAGCCCATCAAGTGCTGGAACTATTGGTGAAAAATTCATCTCTCCTGTCCTTGGAATCCCTCAGCTTGTGCTACCTTGTCAGTACTTTCAGTGCTTATCCTTTTCTTTCTTCTCATTTCCTGGTGACAATTCCCGAGTAAATTACTGATCGTCTCTAGTTGGACAAATGCCCTATCAATCACGAATCTCAGGAAGACTTGAACACCGACCGATCGGGAGCACTATCCTCGGTGCAAAGGGAAGCGATATAATGCTCATAAAGCTAGCGGAAGCCGCATTCCGGGCAGCGTCGTGGCCTACAAGCGTGGATGTCGGGAGATATATGTTTCCTCTAGCAGACAACGTCCGTAATGTTGCTCTCGTCGAGGAACCTTCCAAAAAGCAAGGCTTGTTGCAACTGCAGTCGCTGAGTAGCAAGTTTTAAGGCTACTGACAAGCGGGCTTTGCACGGGCAATTCTCTAGCTCTTTCGGATTGGAATTAAAAGATGTTTCCTTGACAATTTGAAAATAATTCGGAAAGAGACGGATAGAGTTCCTAGTCATCTGTAGAGATCTATATAGGATTCCTATGGGAATAATCTTAGTCCCTAGTCCCATTTCCAAGGTCCCGTCTTCACCGAATTTAACCTGATTTTCCTATATAAGTTTTTATTTCCTATTCTCTCCAAGCCTGAATGTTAATAGCCAGAACTAAAAAAATAACAGTAGGCGGTTAGTGGCGAAAGGATACAGCTTTCTAGACGTACCTGCATTAGGGTCCCAAAGACCGCGATTTCCAGTTGGACTTGAACTGTGGTTTTTCAAAAATATATTCTCCGCATGAACAGTCGCATTTTTTTCACTCTAGACCAATTTCCGATAAGCAGTAGACCGTCCAGTCCCTAGACTCCTAGAGTGACTATAGGTCGGGTCACCGCGTCGCGTCGCGTGTCGCGTATCTTCCTCCCCACATTTCAACCGTCACTTAACTGAGTTTTGCTTCCACCCCTGTTGCATTGTCCTCATGTCAGACCAGACAGCTATACCAAGTAAGTTACCCAGTACAAAAATATCCCTTGTCAATTCTACGCATGTTAATTCATCTCCGACGTGCTAGGCTGAATCCTATCCCGTGTACGAAGTACTCTGTATCATTCCCTTCAACGATGTGGAGACGTGATCTGGAATATGCAGTCCGGCGCATGGAAGAGGAAAGGAATTGGGACACTTATCCATCAGTTTCACAGGGCTCCCAGCCTTCGCCGGTAGCTCTCCTTCGAATATGCATACGGTACAAACATTTATACACGCGGCTGTCCCCGAATCTTACCTTTTGGTTCTCTGTTACCGATGATTTCCATGCTGCCTCTGGCTGGCATGAAGAACGGGTCAGGTCCTTTGTTCAAAAAAAGCTCGCAGAATACCGCAATCGGGATCACACTGTTCGCCCTGTCGACCCTGATGGTTACCGGATGGAATCACTTTTATGGGAAATGACGGAGCACATCAGTTTCATCAAATGGCGGTCAGAGCTGAGACGCTCCGATTACAGATACCGATCTCCAATGCCTCTTCCTCAATCTGATTTGGATATGACTTGGCAAGACGTCGAAGAAGCCATATTGGAGCGGGTCAAGTCAGCAGCAATGCGCTGTGACTTTGATCAGGCCAAGTGGCTCCTGCTTCAATTCAAACACAACCAAAAACCAGAATCATACATCAAGGAATTTGAGTCTAATAAAAGCCTACATGAGCAAATAGAGAAGCAGCGCGAAATGGAAAGCGCTAAAGCAGAGAGTGATGGCGAATGGGAGAAAGCCAAATCCTCGCTGCTTTCAATGGAGAACAAGGTGAGATCGGGCCGGCTCCTTGTCGCGTTGGAAAGGAGACAAGCAATACAAAACAAATACAACAGAAGTCTTCAAGAAGAGACTGTATTGGCGCAATTTGTTGATCGTGACTTGACTAAGGCCTGTGCTCTGGTGTCTCTGATGAAAGGCAAGAGGCCCAAAGCATTCGTGGCATTATTCAAGTGCAACGAGGCTTTGGCTAAGGGTGACTTTAGCGGCGCGAAGTCTATACTTTCAGATCCACAACTGGCATCGGTCCATATGGCATTAGAGCCCATAGTGGACCTCGCGGAAGCCCTGCACAATGAGGACCAAGATAAAGCCACTTCTCTATCTCTGCGTCTAAAAGTGGATGGCGAGAACTTGGGACGAATCCTCTTGAACTCATCAACCGGCGTCAGTGCAGAGAGGTGCGATGGCCATGTTGAAGCCGTGAGCTTGCTACAGCCCGAGGAACCGTTAAGTGATGCCGACGTTGAATTCCAAAAACGAAGCAAAGAAGAATCATTGTGCGGTGACTGGAATGAAGCCAAGAGGTTGCTGCTCCTGATTCCGAAAAAGACGGTGTCCGGACCACTCCTCAGAAAATTGGAAGCGGAACGATCAGCATTTTACGAGGCGGACAAAGATTTAGAAAAACAAGCCAAAGAGGCAGAGATGAAGGGTGACTGGGAGGGGGCGAAGTCTCTCCTATCTCGTATCAGAAGCGATTTCGGCAAATTCCTTCTTGCGGCATTGGCATACAGTGAGGCACGTTTGACGCACAAAGACGAGCACATGGAATTACTTGTTCAGCTTCAGAAGGAATACCCCGATGCTCGCCTTGAACAGGTGAAATTCACACAGTACTTTGAACATGCAGAACGGAATGGCCCCCCAGAGAGAGCCACCGACCTGCATAGTCTTTTTGTTGGGGAAAAGATGTGTGGAACTGGTGTTCTCTGGAGCGAGCCCGATGATTTCCGCAAGGTGTTCGAGATGATGGCTGAAGATATGCGCGATACCTACGACAGGGCATGGTACGGTCTGCCAGCTCCGACCATGCGATCACCAACTGCATCTCGAAGTCAAGCTGGGGAAGGCCACATTGCTGAGAACCCTCCTTCGTCAGAAACTACGCAGGCAGAGCCCCGTGGTTGTCCAGGCACTAGCCCATCTTCATCTTCACTGCCTGCAATACCTCGCGACCCATGCATTATAACCCCTAGTTGGACGGTGATCCGAGAGTATCGGTGGGACCGACCTGAATTGCCGTCGCTGAGCCTTGATCAGCAGCTAGTCCTGTTTCAAATCTGCCTTGTGCACAAAAGCCGTTACACAAAATCGCAAGGCAATCTCGACTTTTGGCATCGTGTTGCTGATCAATTTTGGGAGGTTTCGGGCTGGCACTGGAAACTTGTCAGGACGCTGGTACAAACAAAGTTACGTTCTCAGGCTGCGTGCGATCGTGGACCTCAACTGGCACCACTCATAGATGAATTACGTTCCCATATACATGCCATCAGTCATCCGAACAGAAGCAACGTGGCTCAATCAAGTTCGCGGTCGCCAGTGGTTCAAGGCCGAGCAGGAAGACTTTCTGGGCAAAGCTATGTGAATGGATTACCTAAAATCCCGGTAGAAATTATTCTTGCGCAGGGCGCTGCGAAGCGAACATTCTCACAGACTGGGTTCGATGTCGAGATCAGTTCGGATGGTATGTTGTATCATTGCCGTGGAGTGTTATTAGGACATACTAACATGTTATCCCTGTCGACAGACGATTTGCCTACACATCATGCCTCGCGACCCCGACATAACGGCCCGGCTAGCTCTTCTGTGAGCATACATACTCAACCTTTGGTCACGACAGAGTCTGTGCAAGACCTTATAGCGAAGATCCAGGAAGCAAAAGAGCAATATGATTATGATAAAGCCAAGTCTCTGCTGCTTCAGATCCCTGACAAGAAAATCCTCGAACCTCTCCTCAAGGCTTTGGACGTCTGTCGCGAAACTCAAATCCGCAGTAACAAAGAGCTCGAAAAGCAATCCAAGGAAGCTGAGTTGAAGGAAAACTGGGCTATGGCCAAGTCTAAACTGTCTAGCATTAAGGGCGAGGACGCCAGTTTCCTTTTGTCGGCATTGCAATTCAGTCAAATACGGATATCATGGGCTCGCGAAGAACTCGATCCATGTGACTTGATTGACCAGATCATAAAGGACTACCCCGATCCACGCCTTGAGCAAGTGAGACTTGACAACGAGCTTTCGGATGCAGAAATGACTGGCGACCCGCAGAGAATTGGTCATTATCGTGGGTTGCTTCGCGCCAACCAGAGAAGGATAGGTGTTCTCTGGGAAAAACCCGATGATTTTCGCAAGGTATTCCAGATGATGGCTGCAGAAATGCGCCGTGCTCGTGACAAGGCTTGGTACGCAAGCCCCGCTCGAGCTAAGCCAACTGGATTTCAATCCAACTCCGACGATGACGCTGGTTCTGGTTCTGCCCCTGGTCTGGGATGGAAACCTCGGCCTCAACCTCGATCTCGGCGTCCAGATATCGACAAAGAACTCAGCTTGTTAGACAAGGCACGAGCAGAGCTAATCAAAGGGTACGAAAAGGCCAAAGCTATTCTACGCAAGGGATCGAGTGAAGATAACAAAGAAGCCATTAAAGCATTGGAGCGCAGTGCATCACAGGCTCTCGGTGACATTGACGAGTCAGAGTGTTCACTGGTGGCCCAGGCTGATGATTGATGATGATGACGACTCATACGAATCGCAATGGCATGGGTGAATTCCACAGAAACCGAGTCGGCAGCCGACTATGAGTTGGCTAGATCTCTCATTAATCAACTACCGCGGAATAGTTCTCAAACCACGCGCCTCCTCCAGGAATGTGCGGAAGAACGGGCCCAGACGATCCGCTACCTTGCAAGATGCAGGACTGAACTTAACGCCGGAGGACATTTGCGAAACATCAAGCGAGTTGACTGCTGATGACGATAGGTCAAGGGGGTATGATTAGAGTCAAAATAGATTGGTGAAATTATGTACAATAGAAACTTGTGCGAAGCAAGATCCTGATATCTGTAGTTTAATGTGAATGTTTTGACTCGATGTATTCCAACCAAGTCTTTCTCGAGACTCCTCTAGGAGAGTCAATGTGGTTGCCGGGCATTCGAGACTCCCTAGAACGTATAAAGCGCTAAGTTTCCACAGTCGGTGGATTCCATTCCGCAGCACTATCGAAAAAAAAACACGTCAGCACAGTGACGAACCAGCGGTGACCAAAGCCATCAGCTAGAATCTCCTACCCGTGTTCCTGATCCTCAACCTCCTTCGTCCACTCCTCGGGAAGCGGCGGACGCGACGCGTTATTCCCGTGCCTCGAGGTCCGTCCCATATTGTACGGCGTGTAATTTGACTCGGGTTCCGGCTCTGGTGTCTCTTCGTCGTTCGCGTCCGGAGCCGACTCTGGAGCCGACTCTGGAGTCTGCGGTTCGGGCGGTGTGCCAGCAGCCTGCTCTTCAACAGGAACGGCGGAGCTCTGAGAGCTCTCAGGGCTCTCGGGAGCTATCCGTTGTCCGACAGGTGTCGGAGTCGCATTCGCTCTGCTGGACCTGCCATTGTCTGAGCCCTGTGCCTGTGCGGGTTTACGGGTGTTGTGGTTCGGGCTCTGGGGTGTTGTGCTCTCTGGCCGGTGAGTGTTTTGGCACCAGGGGCAATCGAATTTGCCTGTGTAGGCGCGGTGCCAGCTTGCGTGGGTGTGTTGCTGGTATCTCTTCATGGTGGGATGTGTAGATTATGTAGGTGGGGGATATATATACAAGAGGTGAAATAATTGCAAGTTCATCTTTTCGGGGATCCAACGGCCCCTTAAAGCGGAGATTGATGGCAGGCAATAGAACGATCTAGCGCTCTTTTTTATTTTTTTGGGGGATCCTTGCTCATTGAACAGCCACTAAGTTGCTGCGCTGGCAACGCACTCGTGGGGTTGGGAGCCACTTATCACATCGGCATTGGCGCTTGTGTGCATGGCGTCGATCTAATTTTAACCTGGGACGAACCACAATGGCATGATGTAATTACGAAGAATTACGTGCATAAACATAATGATCAGAATAAACAGAATATCACCTGCATAACACAATACTAAGAATAGTTACAAGATGGAAAGTGGGTTCAACTACACTATAAAGGTCCCAGCTACAGGCAAATGCAAGGAGGCAAATGAGGGAACAAGACAGATGGACATTGGGGAGCAGTTAGAACTGAGTAAAGAAATTGCCTTGGAATGAACACCGAACTAATTGCTCCCAGGAAAAAACCCCCTTCCGATAGTAAAAATAAAAAGTGGTATGTGCCATGATCCGTCAAAAACTACATCACATGAATAGAACGCCGGCAGTAGCCTATTCCCTCAATTGAAATATTGGTAGGAACTTTTGGTCGTAAAGATAAGAAGCGAGACGCTTATGCGGCAAGCTTGCGGATCTTCTCCTCGACGCGAGCCTTGCGCTCGGCGTGGGTGAGACGGTTGACCTTGTACTTCTTGGACTCGGCCTTCCACTCCTCCTTGGTCTTCTTGGGACCGGCATCCTCATCGGCCTTGAAGGGGTCCTCACGGATGGCCTTGTGGGCATCGGCGTAGATCTCCTCGAGGTCACCAGCGTCAATCTCGTTCTCGATGTACTTGACGAACTGGGACTTGTAGCGCTCCTCATCCTCATCAGCCAAGTTCTCCATGTACTCGGAGACGTGGGAACCGTGGATGTAGTTCTTGAGGGTCTCGGCGTCGAGCTCCTCGGACTCGATGTCGTAACCGGGGAAACGGCGGTCGGAGTGGGGGATGAAGATACCACCGTCGGAGGCACCCTTCATGGCAGCGAAGACACGGTTACCGGTGGAGGTGCGGACAAGACCAACATCGAGGAAGGCCTTGAAGGGGCGGCGCTCGCCATCATCGGTCTGGATGGCCTCGGTGAGGGAGTGCTCACCGGTAGCCTCCTCGACACCCTTGAACTGCTCGTCAAGGTTGAGCTTCTTGAGGACACGACGGGCAAGGAGCAGACCGGTGGCGTAGGCAGCAGCCCAGTTGGTAAGACCCTGGTCGATGCCGTACTTGGGGAGCTCGTGGGCGTAGGCAGAGGCAAGAACCTTGTCACCGGTGACCTCGGAGTAGACGATCTGGGTGATGATGTCGCGGTTGGTGAAGCGAACAACCATGCGGTACTTGGGCGCGTTGTACTTGTTCTTGGCCTGGGTGATCAGGCGCTTGCGAGCATAGTAGTCGGTCTTACCCTCGCGGCGGCGACGGTACTTAGTCTGGAAGCGACTATAATTGAAAAAAGTTAGCAAACAGAAAATCCCAAAAGATTATCACAGGATAGAAAGATTGAACTCACCTGAAGTAGGCGTTGGACTTCACGTTCTTGGTGAAAGGCTGTAAACCATCGCGAGTCAGCAATTAACGCTTCAGAAATTACGCCGAAGCAACTTGCAGGGACCCGGCTCCGATAGGAATCGGAGAGGAAATAAAATGCAAAAGGAATGCATAATGACTTTTTCAGCCATCAGCGATCGAACTCACCATTTTGACGGGGTGTCGAGGGGCGCTGGAGATGGACGAAGAAGAGGAAGTGGGAAATTTTCGTGGGTCGACTTTGTGCGGGATTTCGCTTAGCGTGTGGCTGCATCCCCCGCCAGAAAATGAGGTCGGCGACGAGTGAACATCAACTTCTTAACTATGGAAAATACAAGAAACAACGACAATTAATTCAGGAAAATGGGGGAAAATGGGGAAAATTAAGAAAATGATCTAGAATTCTTAATCCTTCATCCTTTCTACATATAATTCTGATATTCTTCTTGAAATAACAAACTTCTATGTATAACGCCTCACAATCGTGCCTTGTCCTCCTCCAGCAACTGAAGGCCTGTGAGCTTCTCCAGCTCCTTGACCGCATCTTGGGTCTTTCCAAGTATGACTTTGACTGTACGCATGCCAGCGTTCTTCGCCCCCTTCAGGTTCTCGCCAATGTCATCGAAGAACACAACATCGTCGGGATTAGCTCCGGCTAGTCCTCGTCTCTTAGCTAAATTGTCCATCTCCTGCAACGCCACCTGGTAGATTTTGGGGTCAGGTTTGCGGAGGCCCGTGTGCGCAGACGAGATGAAGAAATCGAATTGCTTCTTAACTTCGGATGCTTCATTATATTCATGTCCGTCGGGGAATATAATGGTGTTGGATAGAGCGCCCATCAGGAACTGTCCTGACTCTCTCAATTTTTTCAGAGCTGGGTAGATATAGGGGTCTGTCGTGCGAGATACCCGCATCATCTCCCAGAATAGCCATTCTGCATCCACCGTCGGCATTGGAGGAATGGTAGAACCATTTGTGCCTTGTTTCTTTTGAAGTTGTTGTTGGAATTGCGTCCATAGTTCAGGGCTTGCCAGGTCCGCATTGAACCCCGCAAAGAAGTCCGTGTCAACCCCGATGTCGCCTCGCTCGAGCTTGTGCCAGCTACCGTTGGGCGCGGTTCGCGAGATACTGAAATTGATCCATCCTGATGGGATGTTTTGGGCAATCTCATAGTCAAGAATAGCTTGTAGCGGGGATGCAACCTAGAGATTCGTCAGATATATATCTTCAATTTATGGGTCAAGTGGCTGACTTACACACACTCCTCCAACGTCGAACAGTAAGCCCACCGGTCGCTTGATCTCTGCCATCTTGAGATGATAATGAATGGGGCTGCTAGTGATAATAGGGGTCACTGCAAGATATGCCGCAGTTTATTTCTAACTCGTAAATTAAATGAGTTGTGATGGGAATTGCACGAATTGGATTACAACATACCTTGAAAGCGATCTGGACGGTTAGATTGCCGAGGTACATCTCTAGACCGAGGATATACTCCACACCAAGAACCCCCATTATTACCCTACTAAGATCATGTATGAAAGATCAAACCATCATTCAATTGTTACCTTTTAAATCCTTTCCCTTATTTTATGGTGGTTTATTACCCAAATCGTTATTGTCCATCCCGCAAAATCGTATTTGTGGAGAGACACGTGATGTCTTATCGATAAGATCGCGCTCAGAGAAGATCGCGGGACTTTTGGAGAATCAACAATGGTACTTCTCTAACACCATTGGATTTTGTTCGATATGGATTCAACTCGAACTATATCTGAGTTGAAATCTGCGTTTATCTGGAGCCAAGTCCGTATTTTCTCCGAGAGCCTCGATTTACCCGAAGACTGGCGAAACTATGCTGCTGAAACCACGGAAGGTGATCTGAGTGACAAGGTCATTGAAGATGTTCTACACAAAGGTCAGAACACGAATCACAATTGAACAGCACAATTCTTTACGGATTTGCACCCATATATACAAGATGAATACGATACTTATAGCACTATAGTAAATGCAGCTGCTAAGCAGCACAATCGCGTTGTTTATTCCTCCCAAGCGATCCACCATGTCGCCCAACAGATTGCAAACTTGTACTGGTCGTCAGTCAGTCAAGAGGCAAGAAGTCGAGATGCTTTTGCTCGAGGTATTGAAAAAACAACGGATTTGTCAAGGGGGATGTAAGTTTCCATCCATCTCTATACAGGGTATGACAACACTGACTATGGTTTAGGAACATCACAAAGATGCCTGTCATGTTGGAAAGCCAGGAAGCAAACGAAGAGGATCAGGCAAGGTCAGTTTACAAACACATCCGGGTTTTCTCCGATTGAAGTTCCACCTGCCTTACACCAGTCGCACAGATACCTCCAGCTCCGTGAGCGGCTCGCGAGCCTCGACAGTCATAGGCAGCAACGGCAACGGCGGCTTGATCAGTTGCAACATCTTCGACGATTACTCGAGCCATTTGAAGATCCCCAAAAGGACATTCAACCCAATCTTATTACTAAGGATGGAGAACTTGTTCAAGAATTGGAGAAAATGCGCATGCTCGTAGCCAGAGTTGGAGGCCGGATCGCACAACAGAAAAGAAGCAGCGGTGCCCTTGAAACTCACGATTACTCACTTCCAGCCTCTGATCAGAGATTGCAAGCCCTGTTGGATATGCCTTGACGAAACTATAATACCCCATGCCCACATGTGCATACAATACTACACGATTACACATTGCCAATGCCTCGATGGTAGCTTCCTTAATTTTCTACTTGGATTTCGAGCACGTTGCCCTAGCTACAATGTTTCAATATTGCCATATGTACCTTCCATCAGGGCGACACTAGTATAGCCTCATCATTCATGGATGTCAACAAAAAACATGAGAACGGCAAGTACGTGCCAAGTACGACTGCAGGAATTGAATTATAGACTTCAGAGAGCACGTGTGATTGGACCGGAGCAAATTTGAGCATTTCATACTGGGCGAGAGCCCGTTTTCTCTCCAACTCTCGACCGTCATTGATCCATTACACTTACACACTTGTCCGGTCGGAAAGAAATAGGCTTCGCCCCACCGATATGCTGGGAAACCAACTTTCCTAGATGACTTTTTTTTGTTGATTTTCTTTGCAGCCACATAGTTCTTATTTTCTATCCGAATGAGTGCTCTCAAGAAGATGAGGGAGCTTGTTGGAATAGGACCATCACGTGAGCTGTCCCAATCACGTGTTGATCCGTCGTTAGCCCCACCTGCTAGCGTGAGCTCCCAGCACAACACGCTTGTCAACTGCCTACTAGAAACCTGTGAATCTGATCAGAGCTCCGTGGATGAGATTGCTATCGATTCAGACTCGAGTGACAGTGACGATACTGTCCCTGGTTTGAGTGCACCCGCCACCATCGAGGGCGACACTTCCCCCTCCCCTTCCAAGGCTTTCACGCGTGGGCATCGCCGTCGCTCCACGCACGTTACTCGCCGTGACCTTGAGAAGTTTCAATCGGAGGTTCTAGGCGTGGAAAATCACGCCTCTTGGTTCGACGAAGATAACGGCACCAGCACTCCGAAATCCTTCACTCCTGACGACCCTCAACTCGAGGAACTGAATCGCGCATTCGCCGACGCCGACGTCTCTATGAACACGAACACGTCTAGTATGGCCACCAACGGTAACGGTAACGGCAACTTCTCAGGTTACGTCGAAAACAGTAGTAGCGCGATGAGCATATCCAACATGCCTCCTCGCCAGACTCCGTCTCCTTCCCCTTCCCACACTTCGGTCAGCGGCCAGATCAATGGCGGCGGAATGGGCGCCATGGGTGCGGCAATTCCGATGAACGCTGGCCATCAGATGGATTTGCATCATCTCTATGAGATGGTTGTGGAATTGAGCGACGTGTTGAAGAATAACCGGGATGTGACCAAGAACATCGTCGCGAATGCGGAGGAAATTGTGGTATGTGGGCCAACATGCATTCGAGTTGCCCAGATTGGATATTTAGCTAACACACATTTAGAAGAACGGTATTGTCGATGGCTCTGGCCCGAATGGCCAGCAGGGTGACAATCTTAGTATGTCCTTCGGAATATTGATCACATCTTCGTTTACTAACGCCTAGAGCAGCTGCCCGGATTGCCGAACTTGAGCGTGCCCTGGCCAAGGAAAAACTTGTGAGTGCCGATCATAAATACCATCGTGAGGAAAACATGAAGATGGTCCGGGAGTTTGAGCACGCCGTGGGTATCATGCTCGAGCAAATCCGCAATTACTGCCAGAACAACAACATGCACTACCTTGCTCAGAAGAAGCATTACAACAATCTCCTTCAAGCTGAGCGTGACGCCCATCTGGAAAGCCGACTCGACCGGGACTACTGGCATGCTCAAACCATGAAATGTGCCGAAATGATTCGCACCGCCTACCGTCTCAAATGCGAAGAAGATGATGTTCCTACTCGCGTCATCTCTGGTCTGCAGAATGAAGTTCGTGCCTACCGCTTTGCGCTCGGCATGGAAGCCGAGAAACCCGAGGAGGAGTATGGCTGGGAATATCTCAAGAATATCCCGGGTCTGGAGTAGATAGGGGCTTGTGTGCGGCGGAATATCGCTAGTTCCCGAGGTCCGCTTGACGCCGTGATGACTGTTTCTTTTCATCGCATAACTACCCCTCGGAGGGGTTTGCGTGGGGGAGGTTTTTTTTCTTTTTCTTTGTTGTCTCTGCTCGGCCGTTTTTCCCCCAGGACATGGTGGCGTTTTTAGGTGTTTCTATCATCGCGGATACCCGTATTGAGCGTTATGGTGTTCGACACCAGTATCCTCCCCCTTTTTTACGAAACCAAACTCCTTTCTAACACCCCGGCTCTCCCGGCTAATCCACCGTAAACTCCACGCTTTATAATAATGTACTCCGTAGGCATGTTGTACTCCATAGTTCTTGTGTCCTCCGCCACCGGAGAGCCGAACATTCTCCGGATTGGTCCAATCCCCATCCCTTCTACTCCAATTATATTAACTCCCCCAATGAGAACACTCACGTGCCCCCTCCCCCCGATTATGTCACCTTAGTCTATGCTTAATTGTGCATTCGGAAGTTCTCCAATGCCACTTTTTCTATCCCTTTTAGTAACCCCTCGCATGATTTCACTATGTATCTCTTGCTGAAACAGGCGATGATGTTGGGTTGTTATTTATTGTAATAGTGATTTAACGCATCTGGCGAGCTCTTGGTCGCAGATTATACGGCATATTCCATCTCCCGCATTTCCCAGCATTTCCACCTTATTCGTTGTCATCGGGCCCCTAGTGTTGTCCACCTGATTCCTTTCGAACTGTTTTGCGATTATCAGCGAAAAGTGGGGGACCAGCCAATTATGCGTCGTTCTGTCTAGTCCTATCCAGTCATTGCGCTCTTTATACGACGCCACACCGCTGATAAACCTTCGACAACCACCTGGACATTGCGAAGTTACTTTATTCCGTCTCTTGACTTTCGAGTGATTTCAAAATGGAAGGAGTTCAGACTGTGGACGTGAGCTGGCTTCATCATTCGCAAAAAGGTGAGTTCCACTTTTTATGCCAGCACATCCCCAACCCCAGGATAGGGTTGTTGGAGATCTGAAGTCGGGATAGCTTCTGATACTCTTGAGTCTTTAGATCACTTGTCTCGCACAAAGTCAGTATCAGCGAGCGATAAGCCTGGTACGCAGGCAGAGCCAACGACCCCCCAACCTAAGTCACACCGAAGATCTCGTTCCAACAGCAACCCGCCACCACGCCCAACGCCAGCCCCCTCCACCGCAGAACCGAAGCCAGCCCCCCAGAATAATGTAGCGCCAGTACAAGCGAAACCCCAACCAGTTGAGAAGAGCGAGGAGCAAAAGCCATCTACGCCATCACCAGCGCCGCGAAAGACAGACCCTAAGCCCATCGGACGACGAAACTCGTGGATCTCCAGTCTAAGCTCGAAGTTCTCATCTGGGACTACCCCACCGTCGCAACCTAGTCTGAAGGCCCCTCCAGCGAGTCCGAAAACAACCCCAACCATTGATACGCATAACCCATTCGGCGCTGCCTACTCTTTGAGGGACAGGGAAGAAGAGAGGAAAGAAGAGTCCTTTACTTCGACATCGCCCAAATCACCCTCCTTTATTCACAATGCACTACGCAAGTTCTCGTCCAACTCGGGTGGGTTGCCCAAGTTGAATCCCAATGTCGTGGTCTCTCAACGTCGCGTGATGAATGTCGATAAAAATCGGCAACGATGCAAGATTGCGGACTTGAACCAGGCCAAGCTCAACCGCGTAGCGTTCTGTGTGGATGTTGAAATTGCGGGTGTCTCCCATCGGGACGATGACGAGGGAGCTCCTCCAACCAATCAATTACGACAGCCTCAGCCTCTAACTGAGGCTACTAACCATAAGTCTAAGAAGGCTGATCTCAAATTGAAGGACCAAGACGAAGCTGGTGCTTTGAAGCATCCCCAGGCTACATTGGCTGATAAGAATAGCGCGTCCTCGACTCCTGCTCCGGCCACCGGCGATGCGAAGACCCAGTCTAGCTCTACCCCGACAAATACCACCAGCAGCAAGCCATCTAATGACCCCGCTCCAAATGGGGAAGTGATTGACCACACAAGGAAGCAAGAGAGGAAGAAGAGGTCTGAGGCAGAACGGAAAGAACGGAAGGAGAGAAAGCGAAGACAGGCAGTCGCGAACGGTATAATTCCGTTACAACTCGATGCAGAGAATGACGATGACGAAGAGTATTCTCAAGGTCCAGCGCCAGGTGTCACTCGGCCCAAAACGCAAAGTCACCCGACAACCGATCCAGTGCGCATATATCGCCGTTGTTGCCAGCTACGTGAGACGCCTGTTCTCAAGAGAGTGGTTGACGAGATCTCCAAGCCTTCATCAACACTGGCCGAGTCCCCTGGCACGGTAGCGGCTTTGGATCTGAGCAATTTTCCGATGACCTCACAGGATTTGACAACATTCAGCGATTGGCTCGCGGTCGTTCCAGTCCGTGAACTCATTCTTGAAAATTGTGCATTGACAGATACTTCTGTGCGAGCCATCCTTTCAGCTCTGCTTGCCACCAAGACGGTAGAGCAGATGCGCTATCGACGGAGACGATTGCGAAGACCGGAATCTTCAGACTCCACTGAGCAGGAACGATACGGTGTTGTGGAAAAGCTTTCTCTGAAAGACAATTCGAAAATTGGACGGGAAGGATGGCGCCACATGAGCCTTTTTGTTCACCTATCGAAATCTCTGAAATCTATTGATTTGTCAGGTATTCCTTTCCCTCGAGGCCAAGTTGCGGTCGATGGTCGTGGCCCGACCAGCCAATCCCAGCCTACGGCCGACGTGAGAATGATATTTGCGAATGCCCTGGCAGAGCGCTTTGCTGGGGATCATCTTGAAGAACTACTTTTGAGCGAGTGTTATCCTTCGGTCGACGCTGTAAAGCAGATCTGCCAGGCAACCACCAAAATGGGTCTACGAAGACTTGGCTTTGCGAACAATGGTCTGACAAGAGAGGGTCTGGAGCATGTGATCGAGTACCTCAAAGCTGGACAGTGCGAAGGATTGGATCTAGGTGGCAACGCTATAAAGGATGATCTTGATCTACTCACAGCCGCGATCGAACCTGAAACACCGCTTTATGCGCTGAGTCTGGCGGATTGCTCGCTCAATCCGTCGGTGGTTTCCCCATTGCTCCAATCGCTTGCGCAAATTCACAACCTTCGGTTCATCGATTTCTCTCACAATCGCGAGTTATTCTCCTCGCAGCCTAGCGCGCTGGGGGCTTTCCGTCGCTTCCTGCCGAAGATGCCGTCTTTGAAGCGCTTCCATCTCGCTGACGTCAACTTGTCACCGGATCATGTCATTGGTCTTGCCGAGGTATTGCCAGAGTGCCTCAGCTTGTGTCATCTGAACATTCTTGAGAATCAGCAGATTGTGGAGTTGGCGTCCACTACAGACCCCGTTGCTCAGGAAGAAGCATGCGCTGTGTATGCGTCTATGATGACAGCTGTCCGTGTTTCACGGACAATTATTGCAGTCGATATCGATGTTCCCAGCGCAGAAAACAACGAAGTTGTCAAAGCTCTAGGATCACAGATTGTGGCTTACTCGCTGCGGAATCTTGAAGGCGGTGCCATTGCAGTCGAGCTTCCTGGCTCTACTTCTTCGCTTGAGGATATCCCATATCCAGACATTCTACAGCATATCGTCGGACACTCGGTTATTTCCGAAGAGCCTTATGATGATGACGATGACGCCGCTCCCGACGAGGATTATGTTATTGGTGGCACGGGTGTCGTCAAAGCATTGGGTGTTTGTCTCGGGAATCTGGACCAGCAAGGTCTGGATCTTCTTGGTGAGCAATCTTTACCGCCCAGTGGTACCACAACACCTCGACGCCGCAGGTCCCGAGCTGTTCCTACTAAGCGTCCTCGCGATATGTCGAAGAATCTGCTGGAATCCGCGCGCAATATTAGAGTCCGGATCCAGTCGGCTCTTATTCGCGAAGATCGTGCTGGTAATGACGCGAATTATGGCCGCCTGCAATTTTTGGACATGACCTTGCATAAGATGATCCAACGCTTTGAGGACGAATACCCAGAGACTCGTATTGTTCCTCAGCTCCCGCCCGCTGTTACTGTACCCGACACCATCTCTCAGCACTCCGGTGATGACGATGGAAGCGGTTCCTTCTTCGCTGGCGGTAATCTGAACAGCAGTCAGCTTGAGGAAAATTGCTTCGACGAGGAAGACACGGACCAATATGCCGTTCGCCATTCTCGCACCAGCTCCGTAACTTCCCTCCACTCTCGGGCCATGACCTCCCAAGAAGGACACATTCACCGTATCGGCCAGAACCTCCGCCGCGACTTCCTCAACCCGTCTCTGGTTCCTGGCGAGGACGACGAGCCTTTCGAATACGAGGACGATAGTTCGCATATTGCCGCTCTCCGGCAAAAGCTTGATATTCTCCACGATGAGCAGTCTCTCTCTGAATTCGATGACTTTGACGCCGACGTGGCCTTTAATCATCTCGGGACCACCGTCGACGAACTCTACGCTGCTCAGCAGCAAGACACCGAAGCATTCGAGCGCTTCAAGCAGGCCCAGATTGCCGCCCAGATCAACAGCGGTATCCGCTCGAGGAATCAGGCAGAACCCAGGACAGGCCGCAATGAATCAGAGAGCAAGTCTTAGGTTTTCTTATTTTGATTTATATCATCTCGATTTATGATCTTGGCCCCTTATGTATTCTTCTGCAAGCTTGCGTTTTATCATTCCTGTACATACTAGCGCATGTCTTTGAGTATTATCTACTCACCCCGTTCTTTTGTATATACGTTTCGGGCACGAGAGAAGGGCGGAATCCTGTTATCATTGGCATCTTCAGTGTCATTGTCACTACCGTTTCTGCATGACTACATATATGTATATACATGTGGTTGTTTCAGGGCTGTATCACTCTTTCTAATTAAAGAATTCCCCATCTCTATGTATATTTTCCTCGTTAAATGGGTTCTTGCGAGTATATATTTTAAGTAATATGGTGTTGACTGCCTTAGGCCAGCGAGATTACCTGAAAGTGGATTCCTCGGCTGTATCTCCCCAGTTTCCTGGGGTATCACATGTCACCTCCGTCATGGCAATAGCCTCTTTCTCCTCAACTCCCACCCCTTCAACCCCCTCAACTCACTCAACAGCGGACATGTATGCGCCCGAATCTGGCTGATAAGCATCCAATAGCTCCGCCATGGCCGCTCAGTCCAAACTACTACCGCCCGAACGCTCCATCAAACAGATCCTCTCCAGCCTAACATCCCTCTACCTGCGAAACCGCACCAATATCTCACGTGCCGTATACCTCGCCCTCTTTGCCGCGCTCGCCAAACGAATCCACAATGCCATCTCCGAGCAGAAAGCCGCGTCACAGCAGGTAGAGCTGCTCCGACGGCCCGGCACCAGTAGTCTAGGTGATGAGGAACAACCCCGCAAGAAGCGCGTGGGGATCAACCGGGAATTCTTCAAGAACTTGCTCCGCTTACTAAAGATCGTTATACCCGGATGGCGGAGCAAGGAGCTACGGCTGCTGGTGAGCCACACCGTCTTCCTGGTGCTGCGGACGATGCTTACTTTGTACGTCGCCGAGCTGGACGGAAGACTTGTGAGCAATTTGGTGCGCGGTAAAGGGAAGGATTTCTTGCTTGGTCTTGTTTGGTGGATGATTGTGGCTATCCCTGCTACTTTTACGAATTCTATGGTAAGTCTCCGGTGATAGACTCGGGTTCCTGGTCTGCGGCGCTAGATGCGACCGTTCAGTACATTTGCTGACTTGGTGTTTCGCCGTATTAGCTCTCCTACCATCAGTGCAAGCTTGCTCTCAGCTACCGCAAGCGCCTGACGGACTATATCCACGAGAAGTATCTGTCTAATATGACTTTCTATGCCATCTCCGCCTTGGACGATCGAATAAAGAATCCCGACCAGCTTGTCACGGTCGATGTGTCCCGCTTCTCGGACAGTCTGGCAGAACTGTATTCCAATTTAGCTAAGCCCATTCTCGATATGGCTATTTACAACTACTCGCTCTCCAAGAATGTGGGAGGTGAAGGGCTGTTCATCATGAGTCTGCTAGTGCAGTTGTCCGCCAACGTCATGCGTATGCTGACTCCACCATTTGGCAAATATGTTGCCGATGAGGCTCGGCTGGAGGGGGAGTTCCGTTTCCTCCATTCACGGCTTATTGAGTACAATGAAGAAGTCGCGCTTTACCACGGCCACGAGGCCGAGAAGGATACCCTGGACAAGGGTTATTTTACGCTGATCAAGCATGTGAACCGCATTTTGCGCCGGCGACTTTACCATGGATTCATGGAGGACTTTGTGATCAAGTATTTCTGGGGAGCTATGGGCTTGGTACTATGTAGTGTGCCTGTCTTCTTCAAGATCCCGGGTCAGACTACCCACAGCATGGCAGATCACACCGAAAGTAAGTTGTTGTCCTTTAGTATTGGATTTTTAAATTCTGATGACTCCCAGGCTTCGTCACAAATCGCCGAATGTTGCTTTCCTCCTCAGATGCTTTTGGCCGATTGATGTTCTCCTACAAAGAGATCTCAGAGCTGGCTGGCTACACTTCGCGTGTCTCCTCATTATTGGAAGTGATGGACGACCTCCTTGCTGGAAGGTTCGAGAAGAAGTTGGTATCTTCCGCTTCGACGGCAGAGAATGCGGAGCTGCTGTCTGGTCGGGGTAAAGTCTTAGAAAGCGACGCAATTGAGTTCATCGATGTACCGATTGTATCCCCGAACGGCGACGTATTGGTGCGTAAGCTTTCCTTCACCGTTAACCCCGGCGACCACCTCCTGATCGTCGGACCCAACGGGTGCGGCAAATCGTCTCTCTTCCGGATCCTGGGCGGGCTCTGGCCAGTATACGGAGGTACGGTGAAGAAACCCCCTTTCCATGATATTTTCTACATTCCCCAGCGACCATATCTGTCTCGTGGGACCCTGCGACAGCAAGTGATCTACCCAGATGGAGTGCGCGAGATGCGCGCCAAGGGTGTCACTGACGCCGATCTCTACGAGATCCTATCAGTGGTTGATATCGCGTCCGTCGTAGACCGTCCTGGAGGCTGGGATGCAGAGGAAGAATGGCGCGATGTACTATCCGGTGGTCTGCAGCAGCGCATTGCTATGGCTCGGTTGTTCTATCACCGACCCAAGTTTGCCATTTTGGACGAGTGTACATCCTCGGTGACGCTGGAAATTGAGAAGGTCATGTACGAGACGGCCAAGAAACTTGGCATAACGCTCATGACTGTCTCGCACCGACGCAGTCTCTGGAAGTATCACCAGAAGATCCTGCAGTTCGATGGACAGGGCGGCTACATCTTCACCGGTCTTGACTGGGAGCGGCGGTTGAAACTCGAAGAGTAAGTTTCCGATTTTCCTTTCCATGCCGAGCTTTTATTAACTATCTCGCAGTGAGAAGGAGGATTTGGACTTGCAACTACGGGCGGTACCGGAACTGGAACGTCGGGTTGCCGAGTTAACGGCTTAATTTTTTAAATTTATACCATTTTACTTGCAGTTTCTTAGCGCTGAATGTATGATGTATCATGCATCCACAATGACATTGACCAATCCAATCAAAGACTCGGTCGGCTTCCACTTGACGACCAGCCAATCAGCGGCTGTTATACCCCATATTAACATCTCGACTTCTCACGATGTGCAGATGAGCCCCCTCAGCGGCCCACACTGATCATTGATGTCGGATCTCTTTACGTCATACTCCTTGTCTACCTTGTTTGCTATGGTTAAATGCCAGGTTCTACAGGAATTGTATTTAGGATCGTGACTTTGGCAGGTCTGTTTCATTTCTTTTAAATTTGTACTTCGTATCTTTCCAAGCCATTATCTCCATATACCCACCCACGCATCTATATAACAATTTGTATAGAACAAACCCTTCTAAATTCTCTATCAAAATGGCTATATCACAGGCAAACAACGACAACCAAAAGAGAAAGATCATCATCTTCTCCGGTATGCAAAGCCCATTCATACACTCCACTCCCTACCCTCCAATCCCAACCACAAACCCTAAGTCCCAGAACACACCCAAACTAACACCTAACACCCCCAGACTTCGACGGCACAATCTTCCTCCAAGACACCGGCCATGTCCTAGTAGACAACCTCGGCTGCGGCGCAGCCTACCGCAACAAACTCGAAGAACAATTCAAAACCGGCGAGCGAACTTTCCGCGACATCTCAGACGACATGTGGGGATCCCTCAGCATCCCCTTCGGCGACGGCTTCGACATAATGGAAAAGAACCTCGAACTCGACTCTGGCTTCCGAGAATTCCACCAGTACTGCGTCCGCGAGGGCTTCCCCTTCAACGTGATCAGCGCAGGCCTAAAGCCCGTTCTGCAGCGCACGCTAGACATCTTCCTCGGTGAGAAAGAGGTAATGTCAAACCAATTCCCACCATCAATCACCAATAAATCATCCCTTCCAAAACCCACTAACATCTTCCACAAAAGGCCTCCTCAATCCAAATCGTCGCAAACGACCTCCAAGCCCCAGGCGGCATCCCCTGGAAACCCGTCTGGCGCGACAACACAGCCTCAGGCCACGACAAAGCCGAGAGCGTAAACCAAGCCCGCACAAAAGCGCAAGCCGAATGCGAGCCGGACGAGATCCCGCTGATCGTCTTCATCGGCGACGGCGTGTCTGATCTCGCCGCGGCCCGCGAAGCAGATGTGCTGTTCGCGCGCCGCGGTCTCAGGCTCGAGGAGTACTGTCTCGAGCATGGGATTGCTTGTACGCCGTTTGATAGCTTTGCTGATGTTAAGAGGGAGGTTGAGGCGATTAGTTTGGAGGATCAGAGGAAGACGGGTGGTGTGGGCAAGCCCGTGCGGTATAACCCGCGTGCGAATATGTGGAGGCGGATTTCTAGTAAGGAGGCTGTATGTTTTTTGGTTCCCTTTGGAAGATCGAAAGAAGGAAAGAAAGGCGGATTAATGCTAATGGTGATTATAGGTTCCTACGCTTATGGCTACGGCTACGCCTTCGCGGGATGAGAAAATGGCGCTTTGGCCGGATTGTTTCTCGGAGCCTAGGCAGACTGAGCCGACGATTCAGGAGTGAGGGTGTTGATTTGGGGGTTTTGACGTATTTTATGGTTTCATTTTGTTATGTTTAGATTTCTTGGTTTGGCATGGAGTGGGTGTTTTCGATATCAGTCATTACTGCCTCGAGGTAGTATATTCTGTATATCGAGATAGAGATGTATATATACCTAGTTCTGTATAGAGCAATTGCATATAAAGTGTTCTATTCAATGGCTTGAATACCATGTCTAGGTGACTTCTATAACTAACTTATAAGAATGATTGATATACTATTAATGCTAAGGGTATTGAACAACCAAAGCCGTAGAGTTCATTAATCAATGAGACGACAAACCAAAAGAAGAAAGACTTAGCACTGCCTTTGTCAAAAAGTGTGTTTAGTCCTTAACAACCAGAGGCTCGATATTCCAGATACCATCAGCGTACTCATTAGTGACGCGATCCATAGAGAAGAATCCCATGCGCGCGACAGAGAGAATGGACTTGGTCAGCCACTCCTCCTTATTCAAGAAGGCCTTGTCGATCATCGCGTGCGTGGTGATGTAGGAGTTGA